CATCAGTCGTTCCTTGGAAACCCTTTACAGTGTCACTATGGGTTGGAACCAACTCGAGGGTACTTAAAAACAACAGTAACAAATATATATATATGGAGCCCTGGTGTGGTGCTGTGGGTTAATTTGGCACCACAAAGTCGTTTGGCACCACAAAGTTGGTGGTTCAAGCTGACCAGCTGCTCCCTGGAAACCCTATACAGGGTCACTATGGGTCGGAACCAACTTGACGGCACTTAACAACAACTATAAACTACCAGCTGTTCCACAGGAGAAAGATGAGGCTTTCTGCTTCTGTAAAGATTTACAGCCTCGGAAACCCTGTGCAGAGTCACTATGAGTCGGAACCAACTCCACGGTACTTAACAACAACAACAATATATATAGGTTACATACATATGTGTGTGTGTATGGAGTCCTGGTGTGGCACTGTGGCCTAATGCCCTGGACTGCAAGTTCAGTTTGAACCTCAAGGTTGGTGGTTCAAGCTCACCAGCCATGCCTTGGGAAGCCTATACAGGGTTACTATGAGTCAGAACTGATTTGATGGCACTTAACAACAATGTGTGTGTGTGTGTGTGTGTGTGTGTGTGTGAGTAATAAAGTTGGACTGTAGTGATCATGCAGTGCTGCTAGGAGTACTTTTCTCACATTATGACTTGATGGGAAGACACTGGAGTGGTGGGGTCTTTTAGCCATCCTTCCCTAAATCAGATAATGGAGAAGGTCTGTGATCTGTCCAAATGGTAGGCTTGTTTAACTTATGCTCTTGTCCTTTTGTCCATTTCCACTGTTAATTGTGCAACATTTGATTTCAGAATGTACTGAGTAGTTCAACTTGTGTTTTGAACCTTTCCAAGATCTTGATGAGATTATTCAGTTATACTGAAGCAGAGAAATAGAAACAGGAATGTCATCATTTTGTTGAGGGTGAGAATAGGGACTCATTTATTTGTATTTGACAATTCTTTAAAAAATCTGTAACTAAAATACAAAATAGAGAAATGTCTATTGTTGGAAAGGAGACTATAATGTTTACAATTAAGTACTATTCATCTTAATTCTTCTCTAGAAGTATGTTTGTATAGTGTAGTGTATAAGAGCATGTGGTATGAGAAATAATATTTTCAGTTTATTTCATATCTTTTCATCCCCATGGAACATGTTTATTTTGGCCGCTGGCATTGCTTGTGGCATCATTTTGGAGTTTGATATGTATTGCTTAACCAACTCTAGTTCTTTCATGTTTGTACATTTTAGTCTGTTTCTTAGTGATAGCATATATTGAGTTTAAATTTTAGTGCAGAAAGCCTGGAATAGAAGATTACTACATAATCATTAACTGTTATTTGTTTGGCCTGTTCACTAATGTGACTTTTTCACCTGATAACACTGTTTAATTTAGGATCTTAAAATTTGAACTGTATAACATTCATTGATAATTGGTATTTATTTTTTCACAGAAAGAAAAAAGGAAAAATGGATAACTAAGGAAGTGTTTTGTCAGTCTTCAAAGTTATACTCTTCTTTCTCTTTTCTAGGTTGCTGTAGTAAAACTAAAAAATGCAGATAAAGTATTTGCCATGAAAATATTGAATAAATGGGAAATGCTGAAAAGAGCCGAGGTAAGAAGCTTATGTATTTGATTATTTAAATAATATTTTACAAATATTTTTAGAGAACTATAAAATTATATTGTGTTAGTAGATCTTGCATATCATTTGGTAACCTTTTAATATATGATAGAATGCTTTTAACCAATATGTGAGAGTTAAGGTTTTGTGTCCATTTCATTGGGCCAGGAGTCACAATGATTTGGCTGCAGAGATGTAGCTATACCACATGATGTGATCTAATATAATGTAAATCAACTCTTTAATGAAGTTTGCTATGAGCAGCCAATCAAATGAAGTTTTCTCAGAGGTGTGGCCTGCTTCCAATATATTGGACACTTGGGAAAAACTTGCTTACTTTCTGCTGATCTGGAATCTACATCTAGCTCTTCATCCAACCTTCATTCTTTGGACTCGAGCCAGGAGCCTGTTTTGTTGCCTGCCAATCCTGGAGTCATCAGCTGGCTGTCATCTTACCTACCCAGCCTGCCAGTCTGCCATCTGACATTTCGATCTTGATTCATCTCACCCACAGACTTGGGGTGTGGTGCTGTGGGTTAATGCACTGGACTGCAACGTCGTTTGAACTACAAGGTCAGTGGTTCAAGCTTACTTAACAGCAGCGCTTCAGAAACCCTACACAGGCTCGCTATGGGTCAGAACCAGCTTGACGGCATTTCACAACACCAACAACAACTGTTGACCCATTTCCTTAATATAAACTTTACTTTATAAGCTTCACAGATGTTGCCTTTCAAGAGAACCAAGGCTAGGACATTGGAACCAAGAGAGGGTCTAGAGAAACAAAATCATAAGGATGAGTATTCTAAATTGGTTCTCAATTCTAAATTGGTACTGCTGATAACTCTGTGTCCACTAGTAAATAGCATGAGCCTGCTGCTAATTGATATCTTATTAACACACTAAATATCATGTATTGGAGAGAAGTGACCCTCTGGGGTGATTGTGTGTTTGATACTTTTTTTTTCAATTTTGTCAGCATAAGAAGTATAGAGAAGTTGGCTCTGAATCAAGTGACCCTGTGTACACCAAAACAAAACACTGCCTGGTCCTGTACCATCCTCACAGTTGTTGTTAACACTTGAGCTCATTGCTGCTGCCACTGTGTCAGTCACCTCATTGAAAGTCTTCCTTCCATTGAGAGCTGACCCTCCCATTTACCAAGCATAATGTCCTTCTCCGGGTAATGGTCATTTCTGATGATATATCCAAAATATGAGATGGAATCTCATCACACTGACTTCTAAGGAGCATTCTGGTTATACTTCTTCCAACACAAATTTGTTTGTTATTCTGGCAGTCCATGCTACTTTTTTTTTTAAATGTTTTATTGTGAATTATGTGATAGTTTACATGGAGAACATTAGTTTTACGTTCATTCTGTCATATACCGTTTCATTGCCATAGTTACAGTCCCGTCCATGCATCATCAACCAACCAAAGGGCATACCCTGCAAGCCTGCCCCCACCCCTGGTCATCAGCACACAGCCCCTTTCCCTCTCTGGATTTCCAGTCCCCAGCCACTCCATCTCTCCACGTCATCGTCTCTGCCTCCATCTCAGGCATCACTGCTTCTCTGGGTAGGGTCCCACTCTCTACTTTTCTCCATTGATGGTCCCATGCTACTTTTAATATTCTTCAACACCATAGCTCAAATGCATCAATTATTCTATGGTCTTCCTTATTCATTATCCAACTTTCACATGCATATGAGGCTGTTGAAAATACCATGGGTTGGATCAGGTGCACCTTAGTCTTCAAGCTGACATCTTTGTTCTTCAACACTTTAAGAGGTCTTGTGCAACAGATTTGTCTAATGTAATAAATTGTATGATTTCTTGACTGTTACTTATATGAGTGTTGATTGTAGTTCCAAACAACATGAAGTCTTTGACAACTTGAATCTTTTCACCACTCATTATGATGTTACTTATTGGGCCAGTTGTGAGGATTTTTGTTTTCTTTATGTGGAGGTTCAACCCAAACCCATATAAAATACTGATATTCATCAGTATTTTAAATCTTCTTCACTTTCATCAGGCAAGGTTGATCTTCTGCATATCACAGGTTGTTAATGAATCTTCTGCTAATCCTAAAGCCACGTTCTTATTCATATAATTCAGCTTCTTGAATTATTTGCTCAGTATATTGACTGTGTAAGTATGGTGAAAGAATACAACTCTGGCACACACCTTTCTTAATTTTAAACCACTCATTGTGCTCTTATTCTGTTTGAATAACTGCCTTTTGGTCTATGTACATGTTCCTCATGAGCAAAAAAAAAAAAAAAGTATTCTGTAATACCCATTCTTCACAATGTTGTCCATAGCTTGTCATAACCCACACAGTTGAAAGCTTTTGCATAGTCAATAACATACAAGTAAACATCTTTCTGGTATTCTCTGCTTTTAGCCATCCATCTGATGTCAGAAACAATGCCCCTAGTTTCACATTCTCTTCTGAATCCAGTTTCTTACAGTTCCTTGTTGATGTACAGTTGCAGCCATTTTTAAATTTTATTCAACCAAGTTTTTCTTGATATTGTTCAATGATTTCTGCATTATGTTGTTTCACCTCTCTTTGGCTATGTACTTGTCTTTCAGATTGTTTGGCATAGATGAGTGAGTGCTTCCAGTGCTGTGTCAGTTTGTTACGAGATTTCAATTTGTTTTCTTTAAATTCCTGGAACCTTGTGTTTTGCCAGTCCCTTCAGTGTAGCTTGGGCTTCTTCCTTCAGTACTATCCATTCTTTAAATGTTTGAACATTGACCATTTCTTTTTGGTACAGTGACTCTGTGATTCCTTCCATCTACTTTTGGTACTTTCTGTATCATTCAATATTTTGCCCATAATATCCTTTAATATTGCAAGTCAAGGCTTGAATTTTTTTTATAGTTCTTTCAGTTTGAGCAATGCTAAATGTGCTGTTTCCTTTTGGTTTTCTAACTCAACGTCTTTGCACATTTCATTATAATATAACTTGGCCTTCTCGAGCTGTCCTTTGAAATTTTCTGTTCCGCTCTTTCATTTCTTCCATTTACTTTAACTTCTCTACACTGGAAATCGAGTTTCAGAGAATCTTGTGACATCCATTTTTGTCTTCTTTCTTTCCTGTCTTTTAAATGACCTTTTACTTTCTTCCTGTGCAGTGCTCTGAATGTCATCTCACAACTCTTCTGGTCTCTGGTTGAGATGATCTCTATATTCAGGTGGAATATATTCGTGGTGTGTACAACAAAATTGGATTGAATTGTATGGCCAGTGGTTCAAACCCACCTCAGAAACGCTATGTACCAAGTTGCTATGAATCAGACCTGACTTGACGACCTTTAACAGCAGCAACATATTCAAGGTCACATTTTGTCTCTTGTGAACTTGTTTTCATTTTCTTCAGCTTTAGCCTGAACTTGCATATTAGCAATTGATGTTCAGTTCCACAGTTGGTCCCAGACCTTATTTTGCTTGATGATATGGAGCTTTTCCACTGTCTCTTCCCACAGATGTAGTCTTTTTGATTCCTGCATATTCCATCTGGTGAGGTCCATGTGTATAGTCTCTTTCTTATGTTGTTAAAAGTATTTACAATAAAGAAGTCATTGGTCTTGCAAAATTCTGTCATGTGGTCTCCAGCATCATGCTATCACCAGGGCCATCTTTTCCATATTTTCCCTTTTGTTTTCAATCTTTGTATTCCAATCACCAGTAATTATCAACACAGCTTGTTTGCATGTTTGATCAATTTCAAACTGTAGAAATTGGTTGAGTTCTTCAATTTCATAATCACTGACCTTAGTGGTTAGTGCATAAATTTGATTAATGGTGATATTAACTGGTCTTCCTTGTAGGTGTTTGGATATTATGCTATCACAGATAGCATTGTCTTCAAGACAGAGCTTCAAATTCTCTTTCTGATAATGAATGGGGCACCATTTATCTTGAATTTGTTGGTCCCGGTATAGTAAACTGTATGATTATCTGATTCAAAATGGCCACTTCTAGTCCATTTCAGCTTAGTAATACCTAGGATATTCATCTTTTTTTTTTCCTCTCCAAAAACTCAAGGTTAATTTTTCACTAAATAGGCAACAGAAATACATGGTATAAAAATAAGTGATAAGATTATTGTTAAATGAAATGGACAGAATAAATATTCATTTTAATTTTCCATCTGTGAGAATTTCACAATAAAATAATGGTTTGCATTGTGTTATAGATGAGCTTCTTGGATCTCTTCATCCTTGTGTAAAGCAACTGACAAATTCCTCACGTTTCTAATAATTATTTAGGTGAAGATCTTTCTTTTAATGCTTCAAATTTGGTTTTTGTTTTACTTGTTTGTTTTTCACCTTATCAATACAATATGTTTTACCTTATCAGTATTGTTGTTAAGTGTTGTCAGCTTGGTTCCGATTCATAGTTACCTTGTATTGGGTTTCCAAGGAGTGGCTGGTGAGATTGAATTGCTGACCTTCTGGTTCAGACCGACCTTGCTGGTCCAGTGCGTATCCTACAGCACCATACCAGGACTCTTACAATACAATATACAGAGGTAAAATCCATGAGCTATTGATGATAACAATGCTGGATGCAATATCATACACTGTAGTTTATACAGCAAATGTAGTTTAAACCAGGAGCTTATTCTTGGTGAGTTAGCAAAAATCACTACATAAATTTAAGATGCAAGCATATTTATTTAGTTTTGAAAACTGCTTATATTTCTCCCATGGCAGTCAAGACTGAGACTTGCCACAAGATGCTTTGGAATGCTTCACTCTTTGCTTTTCTGTATATGCCCATAAATGAACAGTATGTGTGTGTTTCCATTTCTACCAACACTTTATAGGATAAATCTTTCAAGCTGCTGTGGATTTTAATAAAAACTGTCCACTTTAAAAAGGGGGGTCATGGTTGTCATGTTTTAAACAAAAGTGACTGCTTTGAAGATACTCTAAATCAGTCATCACTGTCTCTCGCTATCTTGCAGAAT